AACCACAAACAACACAGGAAAGTGCATTGGACTAAGTGAGTGATTAGCTCAGGGGAGCCAATGTGCTACCTCCTGGTGGTGTTGGACTGCAAGTCCCGGTAATCACTGCATGCTGGTTGGGGCTGATGGGGATGTAATCCAAAAACATCACAAAGGCACCAGGAATTTGCTTTCGATTGCCTGTTAGCGTTGCCCAGTCCAGCATCACAGCTGCTTGTAAGATTTAAATCATGGGCCTCTGTCCCAGGAGGACGCGGGGCGCTGTGGTATAACCATACAGCCTACTGTTCCTCAGAAGGACGCCGTTTTTAATCCGAAGGTCGGCGGGTTTGAATCCCGAGAGGTGAGCTCCTGTTGCTCGGTCCCTGCTCCTGCCAACCTAGCAGTTCGGAAGCACGTCAAAGTACAAGTAGATAAATAGGTACCGTTCCGGCGGGAAGGTAAACGGCGTTTCCGTGTGCTGCTCTGGTTTGCCAGAAGCGGATTAGTCGTGCTGGCCACATGACCCGGAAGCTGTACGCCGGCTCCCTCGGCCAATAAAGTGAGATGAGCGCCGCAACCCCAGAGTCGGTCACGACTGGACCTAATGGGTCAGGGTCCCTTTACCTTCTGTCCCAGGCCAGGACCACATCTGTAACTAACTCCCAGGCCAGGACAGCATTCTGGTAACTACACCTAGCTGTTATTACAAGGTAATTGCATAAATGTGCAGGCATACTTCTGTGACCAATACAATCTGCTATCTTGAAGTGCAGCTCCTGCCTTTCATTATTTATTCTGTTATTGCCAAGTTGAGCACTGCTTTCCTTTCAGGTGAAGACATCCAAGTCCTCAGTCTGGCTTGGAGATCTATAGCAGATATCCACAGTAATATCTATTTGTTCATATTTGTCATCCTGTCTTAAGAGCTCAACTTCTTCTTGCTTGTTTCCCATCCTCTGTGTATCTGTGTACAAACAACTGAAACCACGAGTCATTCTTCCACACACTGCTGCCTCTGTCCCACTCCATAGGGGTGGGACCTGCCACCACCACACGTCTCTTCCTTCTCTGCAGGTGCATAGGAATTTGCCTTATACTAAGTCAGACCCTTGGGCCATATAAGCTCAGTATTCTACTACACTACAAGGCAGCAGGCCTTGAGGGTTTCAGACAGGAATGTTTCTCAGCCCTAACTGGAGATGCCAGGGAGCTTCTGCATGCAAAGCAGATGCTCCACCGAGCTATGGCCCTTCCACTAAAGCACATTGCAATGCTGTATGTTACAGCTTAAAATTTGGTAGCTCCTGAAAACAACCAGTGGGGGATAAGCAATGACTCTAGGAGGTGAGTGCCATAATAGTATTGCAATTTTATATTGTAAACTGTGCTGTGATCCTTGGATCAAAGGCAGTATAGAAATGTTAATAATTAATAATAATAATAAAGCCCTACTGCCATGTAAGCTTATAGCCCTGTTAGCCGTTATGCTCTGAGTGGTTGTAATATTAGGAAATAAGTTATAATATCTGGTATGCTAGTGTTTCATTTCCTGTGTCATTTATTCAACTTGGCATAAATGAAGAGAGCAGTAACTAATTTTGGTTCAATTTTATTTGTTTTCAGTTGGGCCACAGGGACGTGTTGTAAGTTATGAAGTCCGGAGAGACCACTACAGAGTGGCGAAAAAGAATTATAAGAGGTGGCGTGATGCATGGAAAATAAGTCATCCTTTAGAGTGGCCAGATAATGTGGATTTCATTAATGAAGACATTTTAACAGCAGCTAAGGCTTTGAAAAATGTAACATTTGATGCAGTAAGTATATTTAAAAAAACAACAACAAAGAAACAAAACAGGCACCCTGTTTCTGGAATTATCACATCTCCCCCTGAGAAAAGAGAGATATGAGAAAAGTGGATTGATCTTTTTCAAAGCTAGAAAGCAAGTACTTAGTAATGGTACATTTAGGGAACAAAAAGCTGGTGTAAAGGAAGCCAGTTTAAGTTAAGGTGGTAAAAAGTTACACTAGATTCAAACTTTATTCAGCAGTGGTGTTACTGCTGGTCTAATATCCTCATAGATTTGCACAGAAAACACATCTTTTACATTCTCCTTTAAAGTTTTTAAAAACAGAGTAAGTTCTGTTCTCCAACCCAATTCATTCTTTGAAACAGTGAGTAGAAAAGGCTTCCATTAGAAAGAAACTTGTGAGGGTTTTTGATTGAAATCCTGATAATTTCTGCTTCAGTTTTTAGCTGGTTTTTTTTGGTGGTGGTGGGTGGGCAGTTACTTCTAGTGAGCACAGAGAAGGTATATCGAGATTTCAGTGTTTGCTGGAAGGCAAATAAAAATAATACTTTTATTACTGTTAGTATTAATGGTGATGCTATTTTGTATTATTGCAACTCACCATGACTTTTCCATTACCTTGATCACTTTCTTTTCACCTTTTAATATAATTTATCCAAATTAATATTCTAATATCCTCATAGATTTGCACAGAAAACACATCCTTTATATTCTCCTTTAAAGTTTTTAAAGATGTATGTTTCTTCCATAGATAGCTTTGGATATGCTTGTGCCCCAGAACCTTTTACCTGTGGCTATCCCAAATCTTAAAATGGGGGGCGTTTGTGCAGTATACCTTGCAAAGTAAGTATTGATCCTGGCTATTTACATGCTCCTTTCTGCTACATGGAGTGATAGCTTCATTAAACTTGCAATGGCTTCATGCAGTTTGTTTATAAATGGTCTTAAAGATTATTATAAAGTACATTTATCCTAACTTCAGATTTCCAAAAAGCTATAATAACTGACAGACACAATTTTCTTGGTCCGATATACTGTTATTTATAGTGCACTGAGACTGAACCTTCCTCCTTGTCCTCCCTCCTTTTCCTATCTCCCTTTGCATATCAAGCTTCAATGAAAAGAATGTGGTTTATTAAAACAGCTTCCTGTGGCATCCAGACTGGGGAAACTGTGACTTAACAAACTGCAATATATTCCTCTAAGCCAGGCACCCAAGAAGGGAAAATACAGATCTAAGGCTCTTTCTTAAACTTGTTTTGAATGAGATCATTGCATCTGATCTGGTTTTAGTATAAATGTTATTGTAATAGACTTTTGTTATGCTGCCTTGTGTGCTTCTAAGCTGAAGAGGAAAGGCAAAATATTAATGTTTAGATAGCGTCGGGGCTAGTCAGTTACATCATCAGTGTGTCCTAGTTCCTAATAAGTGATAACTGATGGCTGTTTGTCATGTTTTATAGTCTCGTTGCTCTTTGGGATAAACGAACTTGTAGTTTAGGCAAGAGAGCTAGTTTAGTAAAAACATTTGGGCTGACTACAGTCAAATTTAAATATAGCTCTTTAACCAAGTAAAATACTGCGGTCCTATGCACACTTACTTGGAAGTGGGACTAACTTCTGAGTGAATAGGCATAGGATAGGTTTACAGTACAGTGGTACCTCTGGTTACGTACTTAATTTGTTCCGGAGGTTCGTTCTTAACCTGAAACTGTTCTTAACCTGAAGCACCACTTTAGCTAATGGGGCCTCCCGCTGCTGCCGCACTGCCATTTCTGTTCTTATCCTGAAGCAAAGTTCTTAACCCGAGGTATTATTTCTGGGTTAGCGGAGTCTGTAATCTGAAGCGTATGTAACCCGAGGTACCACTGTACAAACTATTATATTTTATACATTTATGCATATGTGTAGATTTATTCACTGGCAATATATATTATTTGAATTCTTCTAAAAGTATCACCCAGGTTATTGATCTGGTGGAAGCCATCCGGACCAGCAAGATAAACCTTTTTTGTGAAAGGATAGTTGAGGTGACACACAGAGATTGGATAGTACTCCCAGCTTCCTGGAAAATTGGTGGCGTTTTCCACAATATGAAATCCAATCAGAACAAGAACAATGAATCAGCTTGCCATGATGAAAATGAGGAGATTCCTGCTCAACAGAACAAAGAAGATGATGGTATGGACCAAGTTCTAATGAGATCTTGTTTTGTGGCAGTCACTAGAATGTTGCAGTCCCACATGCTGTGTCGAGATGTGAACCTTTATGTAAAATGCAGCCTGAGCTGCCCACCAGCAGACTGTTGCTGGGTACGCAATCTGCTACTGTATTTTTGTCTGTAAGGGCCTGGTATTGGGTTCTTATTTATGATGGTGATATTCAGTGTTGAGCAAGTGAAATTTCCCTTCCTCTCCTCTGTCCTGCAGCCTCTATGGGCCCCCCAAATCTGCTCCAGGGAATCACCTGGATCTCTGGAGCATATCTGGGGGGCTGCAGAAAGGAGGAGAGTAGAAATCTGTTTCAAATATCTATCTAGAGAAAAGAAAGAGAGAAGGGGTTTTCCAGAAGTGGGAGGGAAAGAAACAACAAATGGGTTCAACGTGGAAAAGATTGTCCTGAGATAGAATTATTTAAAGCAGAAATTGGAATTAAGAGTGTTGCACAACAACTTTCTAAATTTTATTTTAACAGCTCTCATTTCTGAGGAGACAAAACCACCATATATTGCTAGACCATATCCTTGGCAAGTGGGGCACACAGGTAAGAATGGCTTGGCAAATATTTTATAAGATATACATTTATTACTACTAATTTTTCATAAGCACTATTACTTTTTCAAAGAAAAATGGAATTAATGAATAAATACCTATGCTTTCCGGCTACTTATGTGTTGTATCACTAATGCTGATGTTTTATTTCCTTCCAAACTAGCCTTTCTTGTCAAGCTGCGGAAATTTAACCCAGCATATCCAAATACTACTTCAAATAGTATATGCTAATTTGAAGACTGCACTTCACCAGGATTAAAATTGTAAATTATATCATTGTTGTTTATGCAATTTAGGAATCCACAACTTTGATTTATGTTGACAATATTTTTGATACCAAAGGTTTCAGCAAAATATAAAACTTAAAAGAATAAATCATATATTGTGAAATGTATTACATTCAGACTATTAATTGTGCTTTGTGATAATTTCTTAAGTTGTTGGCTGAAGTGTGGTTTTTTTTTATTCTTCATTTCCAGTAAACCAGTCCATGGCTTTATCTTGACATGTGCAGCTACTTTTTCTTCCTTTGTTGGGTAGATGTTTGCAATCTATGAAAAATTAGGGAAGAAATTCACATTGAATGTATATGGGATTACAGTGCAGTTTGTCCCAGGTAATGTGACGTGCTTATTGTGTTCTATAGGATGGGTTACACTTATAGGAGCAATGGATAATTAATGTAGGATGAAAAATATCTGTTCTCCATCTATAAACAAAGAAAAGGTTGTAAAGTAGCTTGCCAATGAAATGCTATGCTTGTTCGGGAGACATCTGTTGTTCTTCCCTACAGCTGGGTAGTTGAATTCTTACTTAGTAACTACTGTATTGCCCCACATACTCACTGTGAGTGACAGATGCTACTTCATTGCCAACTGTTGAGTTCATCCCATCATTTGTACATAAAGAACTGACAAATCAGGATCCTCTTACAGCAATGCTTTTATACTAACAACAGAAGGTGTCACCCTACATTTGTTTAGCATTATAAACATAAATCTGAATTAAAGGAGTCACCAAGAAGTCAACGAGGAGGAGTGTAGAATTGCTATCTTAGAACTAGAGGGGATCGCTTTAAAGCAAAAAGTTGATCACTTTTGATAGACACTGCTTGATTACTCCATGTAATACTACATATCTTACCAAGCAGTTAGGTTCCAGGGACAGTGTTCATCATTTTTTTATTTTAAAAAAGTATATCCAGAAAACACACACATGCTTTTAACATTTCTTTTCACTTTCCCAGCACTAATGTTTGTAGGAGAGTCAGTTTCGCTTTTAATTGAACTTACAAAACTCAGCTCATATTTGATGTAATTTGCTGGAAAACTGAGTTGAGCGGCTTTGAGAAGGGGCTATAAAGTAGCTAGGCTTAGATTTTTCTTGTAGTTCATTTTACAAAATCTATCATTAACCAAATTCACAATTTAGAAGGGAAAGGAAGCATTCTATAAATGACTGAGAAGGAGAGATAGAACAAGGACCAGGGACAGAGAGAAGCTTCCATCCAGGAAAAAGCTGGAATGCGAACACCACCACCAAAGGATGCAGGTGTGAGCAAAACATTATACCCAGAACTGTGATTTATGCACATGCTATGACAATGGTTTTTCTCCGTCAAGGAGGCTGTAACAATGACCCACCTACGAAGCTTAAAGGATGTAGATTCAACCTATACACCAATAGCAATAACATTGCTGAGAATATTGAGTATATTTAAGCAAGTTTCATTAAATCAAGGGTATTGACTTCTGAGTGACACAGCTAGTATTGGGCTGTGAAGGTAGTATAAATAAAATTACTTCAGTGTTTACCATACCATACCTTGTGAATAACAGTGCAGAGATGGCTCAGGTATTTTACCAGCTGGAAGAGAGTCATGCAGTCCCTGAGGTATATGTTGTTCCATCATTTCCAGTGTGCCATTGGAGGAAGAGGAGGATAATCCCAGCCGTATGTATCTTGTCTTTTTCCCACAAAGCAAACAGTCTGTAGGTGTGGCATTGGGTCCTCGAGGAAACTGTACTCCATCTCTGCTATTGTTTCTTGTAGCTCCACTATGATGAATAGAACGCTCCCGCTGCCATATATAATGTGTTGAAGCTATAGCCATTACCTGTGTTTAAAAAAACCAAAAAAACCTGAAATGGAGCTGTTATCAGAACAAGCAAATAATGCATAAAAATCACAAAGGATCATTAGTTGGTGTTGTTAGCTTTCTTAATTGCTAGTAAAACAGTTACAGAGCAGGGAACAGGAATGAGCTGCTATTTATTGGACTACTTTTTAGGATCCTGAAGAAACCACTTTTCCACTCCTGGGAATGTTAATTAGGCCTAACTTAGAACAAAAACAGAATTTTTCATTTACTAACAGCTATTCAGATATACAAAAGACTATTAAATTACTCATAATTAAAGTTGTTAATTTTTTCAAATTTTGATTATTTTAATACATGTATAAACAATGTGCGACTTGATAAATAATGTAACATTTGATAGATAATACTAATACATTAGTATTTTAGCATTCTTAAATACACATTTGGTTCATCATTTAACTTCCATGAAAATGAAACGCAGCTCCTGTCTTGAACTGTGGGGAAAGCAGACTACTGTACTACTTTACATCCAAAAAACCCGTGAACTATTCTGTAACAGAAAATCTCATTTGAGATAGTAAAGCTTCTAAGTCTATGGCTTCGGGTTTATGCATGAAGGAAGAAGATTTAAGGCTTCTATCCCTTGTTCATTTAAACTTCTTTTATTGTTTCCTCCAAACTTGGGAAACATGGGTTTAAAACCAGTAAATTTGAATCTCTTTGCATATAAAGAGGATGGGGGGAGCATATGAACCCAAGGCCCATGATTGTAAGAATAAACTACAGTTTGTCATTGCATCTGTACTAGGCCAATTTCTTAGTGGTGAAATTAGTTTTATGGTGGGTAAAGCAGATAGGCAAAAGAACAGGCCTGCTGATCAAAGGCCTATTTGGTCTAGCATCCTGTTTCCCACACTGGCCAGCTAGGTATCTCTGGGAAATTCACAGAGAACCCCAAATACTGTAATTTTTCTTTGTAGGGGATCTGATGCAATGCGATTACCTCCATTGGTACTATGAAAGTCTCCATTCTATGGTTTTAATTTAATTTTCTCCCATTTTTCCTGAGTAAAAATCGGGAAGATTTTTTTTGTAAATGTGTTTACCATTGCCCTGGCACAAACTAATTTTTTTTATCCACAATCCTGATTATTCTGCTAAGTAGCAACCCTTTTCACCCGAGTTTGATGGTAATCCATTAATGGGAAAGCTGGCTGTATCGTACCATAAAGGTCTTTTTCGGGAAGAAAAACAGCATTAGAATTTCCTTACCAATGGTCTGACTATATCCTTAATTCACATTAGTAATAAAAGCAAAGTATGCTGTTTGATAACTGCTTTCTTGCACTTTGCATAGTTAGCCAAAAGTAAGTTCACTGATTCTAAAGGTGCTTACTCCCAAATAAGTGTGAATACAACTGCAGACTTGGTCAATTTTAATGTATTTTTTTCTGTTTAATTTACCAGTGTAAACATTCTCTATGAATGGTTTCATATTTTCCAATAATTACTAATGTCATTATTTCTGATAAGGGAATCCCCTTTGTTTGAAGGTAAATAATTTGTTGGAATGCTTTGAAAGCAAAGTATCAATCAGCAGTTAAATTGAGCCACTCATTATAACTGGGTGGATAATGTTTACAAACAGTTCCTTTATATAGTTTGGTGAAAAAACAGAAAGAGGCTTGTTACAAAACAAAATCTGCCTATTAAAATTCATTTGCTCTTTCTTGGTGAATAAAATATACCCGCCTTACCTCCTCACAGCAGCGTCTGCTTACAATAGCCCTATAATCCATCTTGCTCCAGAGTTCATCCCTTCGAATTAAGAAATCAGGAAAAAGCTTTCTCCAGGATTTTCCTAAAGCCCATGGGAAAATCTCATATTTTGACTCTTCGTCATCTTCTTCAACTGTATTTGCCAGGTACCTACAATGATGAGGACTATGACTCACTTAAATATGGTTTTGATCTCATTTGTATACTGCTAAGTCTTCTCCCTCCTCTTTTTCTTTGGTATTTATATACATTCCAAAGTGCTTAAAATTTAGTTTGGACAAATGTTACCAAATGATTTTTCACCAGATGAAAAGATGGGCAAACAATTAAGAATGCTGAAAATCTCAAGTTTAACATATAGAAAGCATGTTTCTACTTCTTAAAAGGTTTGAAAGTGTGGGGGCAGTGCTTAATGAAGTATCATAAGCCAGAGTGTATGCTGAATATCATTTTTTCTATTGTGCAGTGGGCAGGATTCTTGTCCCTCACGGCTAACAGAAACAGAGCAAATGAGGCAAATCAAAAGAATACAAGAAAACCGTGTTTATGGAAGACAATCTTACTCGGCTACGAGTGATCACCAAAGTAGGAGAATAGGGGATACATTCAAAGGTGGCACCTGGGAAATAAAAGCCCAGTTGATTCTTATGAAGGCTTTGTGCTGTGGTGGGCTTTTCTCCCTCAGCAACCTTTATTGGGCGGCCGGGGGGGGGGAGCTTTTCAAATAAGGAGGATGCTTTGGGAGACAAAAGTCTTTATCTGCAGAAATCAATGACAGTTTAACAACTAATAAACTAGGTTCAACGGGTAATTTAACACCATAGTCTTGGCACCCGCGTATTAATCTCCAACATGCTATAAGCCTTCAAGAGTCAAGACCCCATCCTAAAGAAGTAATTGATGGTGCAGTAAGGTTTATTTCTAACTTCACTGTTATCTCAAATAATAAACTCTTAAGAAACCTCTGACACATTTTAATTGTAATCATAATATTTGGAAAATACTTACAGAGCTACAAAGAAATTAAGCCTGGTGTGTTCGTTTATACTGTAGCCAGCTCGCTTGAAATAAACAAAAGTCATTGCCAAAAGGTACTGTTGGAAAAGGTAAAATATCAATTTCTGGCTATTATTTTTTCTTAAAATGACTTAACATTTCCCTAAAAAATATTTTCACCAGTAGGGAAAAGCATATACTTCATTTTCATTAATTGAATCTGGCATTACCAGTATGTTCCTCATATTTTAGCTGCAATATATTAATGTGCAGTGAAAGCGGGACTGTGAGCATAACAACTAGTAGAAAATACATACAGTAGTTGTATCCTCTGACAAAGAGGCAGAATGGGGAGCCAATGGCTTCTTAACAAGGGGAAATAGGTCATTCCTTCAAAAACATGTTCTAGTACACCTTGTATTCCATACATCTGACCAGAAAAACAGCAGAGATTCATGAAACTCACAGTCTCAGCAGATTAAGTGTGATCAAACATTTTTGCAAGCAGAGTTTTTTAAAATGCCTTGCTCATCTAGGAAGCTGGTCCCACTGAATTCATTGGGAACTTCCTAGTAAACAATTTTATTTAATCAAAAAAGCTTTAAGTGAATCATGTTGTTTAAAACAACAGCATAGGTATTAAGATAAATGGAACATGAGTTTAATCTGAAACAAATGTTTCAAAGGACAGCCTGCATATTATATGTGAACTGGAACCCAGCCTCCAGAGCTTCTAGTTTTGGCTGCCACAGACTGGAAAAACAGGGACTTATATTTGAATTTGCAAGATATGTACAGTTCAGAGAGCCACAATGGGTGGTATTCAATGATTCCCCCTTCTCTTCCGCATGTGCCATCCACAAATCTGCTCTGGAGGATTGGAGGAACTCCCAGAACAAATTAGAGAGCATGTGAAGGGAGGAGAGAGGGAGGTCATTCCATTGCGCAGGAGGTCATTCCATTGCACATATGCTGAGGGAATGATTTGCTGAGCACAAGACTGAATACAACCCCAAATGCGCTGGCGTGTAATTGAAACAAAATCCTCAATTTCCTCACCCTTAAAGTTTCACAGACTTTCAAGACAACACCCAGTTTTACCTTGTCTGAAATTTTACAGCAACAATCCATCCACAAGAAATCTTGAATCAAGTCATCATCTGTAAAATAAGCCAGCTGTGACATACACAATTATATGCAAAGCTCAAGAAGCATTAATTCAAGACAATCCTTTAACAAATTAAAATAATTTGCTCTTCCCCTTCCAGGCAAATGGAAGCAGAACTGTTTCTCACTACTGACCTAGAGAATTACTTGCCAGAACATTTGAGCGCAGAGGTTATTCTGACCAGGCTGCTTTCAGATGGGAGTTTATTGTGTGATGGGTACTCCTCATGCATGCAAATTTTTTACATCATAGCAACATGTCAGCACATATTCCCTGTCCTACACCTTTAGTCTAAATTTACCGTACTTTCTGGGGAAAATCCACTAAGTTTTTTTTAAAAAATCCAATGACTCATTTGTGTTATTACAATATTTAGACCCCATCTGGAGGCATATTAAATTAACAGATTCAATAGAAGCACTCTCTCCATTCTCTAATGGCGGTTTTCTGCACCCTCCCCTGCTGTGCCCTAGGCTCCCCCTAAATGTTCTCAGAAGGGTTTCCCAACCTTCTGGAGCAGATTTAGAAGGGGGTCAATCTGCAGTGCAAGGGCGTGCCAAAAATGGTCTCGTCATTCTACTGACTTTTTCTTCCATCTACAAAGACATCTGTAGGCAATCACCACTGGATACTACCCAAATAGTCTAGTTTATGGTACATTATGCATGCCAGTATCTCATGATGACCATCATGATGTAGTGAAGTCAGTCTTGAGTATGGCTCAGTAAGATACAATTTTAAGCTCCCATATACCCGTTCTAGCTTATAGGGTAATTTCAGGTTAGTCTTGATGAAATGTCTCACATAAAGGCATTCTGGACACAACTGCTTTTGAATGTGAAGTTCTACACACATATACTTGGTGCATTTTACAAAATGATTTATAAAGGAACCTACCAAATAGCTTAAAGAAAGCTGTCATTTCCTGACGCTGAATTACAAGACATGAACCTTTTGGCCGTTTTGGCTTCTTATTATTAATGTTTTCCCCATAGGTCTCCTGGCTATCTTTAAATTTCGGTCGTTTAAGGCTAAGAGCTTTTTTTTGTTGATAAGATCTGGATGCACTTGATTTTATACGAACAGTGACACTGGGAGGTGTCTGACAGCAGCTCTGATTATGTTTCATTTTCCTAGGTGAAGTTACCTGTTAAAATAAAAATTAAATTATTAGCTGAATTGATAATGCATGAGAGAGGCATTAATCTCTCTTCTCCAGTTTTACTTTCAGTATTATGAGAAATTTTATTTAATAGATTTTTATATTCTATCCCATTAATTTTGATATTACTTCCTGCAAGTTGTACTATGTAATAGTACTGTACAGGCATTAGCCCCACTTTCCCAAGCACTTGCTATCAACAACTTTGCGGATGTCAGGAATTTTACTTTCTGCAATATGGCAACCCTAAGATAGTGTAAATGATACTATTTCATTCTTACAGCCAGGCCTTGCATCCCTTTTGATGTCACATGCTTCACTTTCCTACCTATAGAGGGAATGCCTTTAAAATATTTTTATTTCTTACAACCAGCACCCATGACAGTTTGTGAGGTTAAGTATGGGAATACAGGGACCTGTGCACTTGGCAATTTGCCTTCTCTTCTTTACGGAGTTTCTCCTTTCTGCTTCGCTCTACTTTGCCCCAGCCCCTTTTGCAAACCTACACAGCAAATAAATATGGAGTGGCCATAACCGACAGATCAGAACAAGGTCCGATTGTTCCTGGGCAGAGTCACGAGGGTAGTCTAAATTGAGTGAAAATGAATCTCCATGTTTATTGGATGGAAACTAAATATTCACATTTGAAAAATGTTCGGTTATTCATACACTGCAAAAATGTCACATAACAGCGACTCCTGAAAGCAGTATCACGACATGCGAAGCTGGTAAGCATGAACCATAGCATTTGAATCTATTACTCCTGTGAGTCGTTCCCCCCCCCCTCCACCTTGCACACTTAGATTTCTAAGGACTGGTAAAAGGGGAGGAATTTCAGCTTGCCTGACTTGAGGTGTTCCTGCCCAAATATAACCTTTTCCCACCCACATACCCTTTTGTGTGATGGAGCTGGACATTCCTTGCCAGTGTGCAGCAGGAGTCTGTATCTCTCACTCCTTGTACTAGTTTTCAGTGCTGGGGAATATCAGGGAAATTCATTATTATTATTTTTCACCATTGCCTCCCCCCTGGAAAAAAACCACAACCCTCTATCTGAAAACTTCAAAACCTGGTTGCCCTCCTCCCCTCCAAAAACAAATGTTTGGAAAGCTTAGAAACGAGGAAGTGGTGTAGGCACAGGTGTCTGTCAACAGCACAAACAGAGCCTCACATGGAGATAAAAATCCTCACAGGGAGATCTCCACCCTTTCTGCACAACATCCCTTAATGGTGCTCCAACAGAGAACTGCATGAGTGGAAGTGGGAATATGGCAGCCTTACCATTTTATATGAACCAGCTCCATTCGACCTTTTGGACCTTTCAGCAGGGATGGGGGTGGGGAGGAATAAAAGGAGGGGGGAGAGCCATGTTATGTAAGCCACCTGCAAACTCATATTATTATGATTATATTTAAAATGGCTGCCAGGAGCTGTGAGGATAGTGATAGCGGTCATGTTTTTTGTTTTTTTTTTACAAAAGCAAAACCACCCACAAACATCCTTTCATATAAAGGACATATCAAAGGTGTTACCTTGTATCCTTCAGTGCTTATAAGTACTTCTGTGGATTCAATGCCCTCCTTTTTTGAGGGTATATGTTTTGCTTTTTTTATTTATTTTCAGGAGCAGGATCCTTTGGCCCAAAGGGTCAGCTCTTTCCCTCTGACACAGCTCTTTCCCTCTGGCCGAAGGATATCAGTGCCATTTATAAAGCAGCATTACTGCAGAATTTCCTCTACAAGAAGCTTGTTGTATGTTGTGCTTGTTTGAAGAAGCTCTATCTGTTGTTATAAATAAAAGATTATCCCTGCTGCCACCTTGCTGCTTCTGCTGCTGCGGTTGACAGAGACAGCAATGCTGTGAAGGGACAGAAAGTACTTAAGAGCGGCCTGTTGCTCCCTGAAAAAAAGCAGTATCATTGTGGCATTCCTAAGAGAACTATTCAGATTTGTCATAGACAAAGGATTGACAAAGTCAGTCCAGGCCTTTGGTTTCCCTTCATGAAAATCCATGAGCCAAAGACTGAACTAGTATTTGTGGCTAGTGGCACCCAGAAACATGAGCTACCAGGAAAGCGCGACAATTACCTCAGGTTATATGCAACCTGCATGGGGAAAGAAAACGGGCTGGATCACAACCAATCGCCACCAATCAAAAAATCTCCTCAGACTGACATTTTCATTTGCCGTAAGAAGGGATCTCAGCATCACCCAGGGCAAGGAGCCACTCCCACTACATCCAATCAGGACGCAGGCACAAGAAGCCTTGGCCAATTAAAACGCAAGGGACTGAACAATCCACCCTGGTAAGGAAAGGATGCCCTAAAGCGCTAGGCCAGAGGGAGAAAAGGCACCAGCCAATCAGGGGGAAGCGAGCCTTGTTGCTAAGACTCCCAAAAGCTTCCCTTCTGGAGACATGTGAGTGAGGAAGTCTGGAAATCACATAGAGCCATCCTACTGATATGTAATAAATGTGCTGTTGTTTTTTACTTGAAGTATTTAGAGGCTACCTTTCAGGTCATCCCCTCTCAAGATGGCTTCCAGCATATAAACTTAGAATGTATATAACAGTAATCAGCAATAACCCTAAAACACTGTAACTACAACATTAAGAATAGAATTCCAAAAACCACAATGTCATTAGCCCAGCAGCATTCATTCTACTCTGTTTTATAAGGTATTTATGTATACGTTCTTCACTGTATGTCACTTGGAGACCTGTTAGTTGACAATAAATTAAAAAATTGTCCAGTAGCACCTTAGAGACCAACTAAGTTTGTTCTGGGTATAAGCTTTTGTGTGCATGCACACTTCTTCAGATACGCATGCACATGAAAGCTTATACCCAGAACAGACTTAGTTGGTCTCTAAGGCACTACTGGACAATTTTTATTTTTTATTTTTATTTCGACTGCGTCAGATCAACACGGCTGAATGTTAGTTGACAAGCAACTAATAAGTTTAATATGTAAATGAATAATCCACACCTGTAATGACAACACAGGAAAAAAACACAGTAGAAAAAATGATTGCAGATAAAATAGTTAAAACTAGATTATCTAGGGTTGCCATTTTTCAAAAAGTGAAGATCTGGACACAAAAGTTGTTGAGCTTTTCTTGCAAAATATCGAATGAAAAAAATGAAGTTTTTGAGCTATTTTTAATTAATTTCTCAAAAATCTACACTTCCGACATGGGCTGCCATACGTCCGGATTTTCCCAGACATTTCAGCAATTTCTGCCCAGACATGGTTTCCAACAACTGAATCCTGGCTATGTCCATGAAATTCTGGAGGTATGGCAACCCAAATATTATCTGAAGTCTACTACACAGGAAGAGGATGAGTGCAAAGGAAATTTAAGAAAGCTTGTTCATCAACTAAAAAACAAAACAAAACCATTCCTTCTGCCTATTGCGATGCTTCACTTGGTCCATAGACTCATAGAGGCAGTGAACGTATCTGTTCCTTGGTTTTCCTGGACTGATGAAGTCTAGCAAGGAATAACTGGCTCTAAAGCAAAATAAAGGTTGTTGTCTATATGGAGAATGGGGAGCGATTCCAAAGCTGGTTGTGTGAGACATAATTTGGAATGTAGGAATTTGACCACAAAAGTAGCACAGTATGTAAAATATATCTTCCACAGCAGCTAGACTCTCATATTTTAAAATGTAAAAATAGAGAAGCTGTGTTTTGTGGCTAATCTCTGATCATAATAAAGATTGATTGATTGATTGATTGATTGATTGATTGGAGGTGCACTGAGACGGAGGGAGGGAGGAGAGATCTGAGAAGGGTTCAAACTTATGGTGCCTGGAGTGGTATCCCTGCGGAATTGGGATTTTGCAGATTCTCCTCTCCACTGGCATGGGTTAAGCACTCTTTTCACTCTACATGGTCACTTCTCTGTTTGAAGTACCTCCCAAGCTGCTATTATTTAGGAAAAAACCCCAGCTGCCATCATTTTAATGCACTCATATATGTAATGTGTAGTTTGTCCCAAACTGATCTATTACTGAATGTGTATTTCTATCTAGTTTGTAGAATTCAATAGACTAAATAGAAATAAAGATCTTAGCGGTGAACTTTAGACAGTTAGCTGTACGCCAGGGGGCACTATTAGACCACAGTCAACATTGAAGGCAAGCCTTGATAGTTCAGCTGTTTTCACAGATCAAACTAGGTGGACTGAAACTTAACTCCATTTCCCTTTAACGTAAGTGTATTGAGGCCCTGATTCCAAACAAACCAAGGACACTTCCAGGCTCTCTCTCTCTCTATGTCTCTATGTCTCTATCTGTCTGTCTGTCTGTCTGTCTATCTATCTATCTATCTATCTATCTATCTATCTATCTATCTATCTCTATCATCTATCGTAATTAAGTGGCATATAAATTGTAAAAATAAGTGAAATATAGGGGGAATTTGGTGCCTTGACTATCTGTTGACCTCACAGATGTTTTCCCCACAATCATGCCCATTAACAGCACAAAAAAATGCATGGCTAGCTTGCACTGCCAACATGATGCTTTAGCATTACTTTTATCCTTCTGTCTCTGATCAGATATTTGTGCTTTCTATCCCTTTTAAGCATTCTGTATTTATAGACAGAGGCCGATTTTTATGCCATAAGCAATGTTTAATGTTTTAACGCATAATTTTTTTCCCTATTTACTTAAGGGATGAAGAATAATTTGAAAATAAATGTGATCCTGGAAAGAGACTAATATTTCAGTGAAGAAAGGGATTTGCTGGATTCTAACAGACAAGGCAATATTACCAAGGCTCAGTTCCTACATCTATAAAATGATGTGGTGCAAGTCCACTGAAAATAGTAGGGCTGTATATGATCTAAATAGGGTGTGGTGGAGACATTTTCAAGGGATAGTACCAAGCACAAAAAATGGATGCAGATTTTGTGTTGAACAGGACTTTTCACAATACTCTTACCATAAGGACCTTATTGTTTAACAATGTGACTTGTAGAAGAATACTAAAGGAGCTGTTTTTTGCTCCTCTGAGTTGCTAATAGGTAAAGGTAAAGGGACCCCTGACCATTAGGTCCCGTCGTGACCGACTCTGGGGTTGCGGTGCTCATCTCGCTTTTTTGGCCGAGGGAGCCGGCGTATGTGGCCAGCATGACTAAGCTGCTTCTGGCGAAGCAGAGCAGTACACGGAAACGCCGTTTACCTTCCCGCTGGAGTGGTACCTATTTATCTACTTGCACTTTGATGTGCTTTCGAACTGCTAGGTTGGCAGGAGCAGGGACCGAACAACGGGAGCTCACCCCGTCGCAGGGATTCAAACCGCTGACCTTCTGATCGGCAAGCCCTATGCTCTGTGGTTTAACCCACAGCACCACCTTTGAGTTGCTAATAGATATGGATAATTATATGACTTAGTGTGTAGCTCTTTATTACTACTGCTAAGAAAACAATGAAAAGATATTTATTTCTTTAGAGACACCTTTTAATTGCCCACAGGACAACTTCATATTTTGAATTTTTTTTTCTGCATTGCACATTTTGCCAAGGCCTTTGACCAAAAAACCCTTAAACATTTCTAACTGGCATCAGATACAGCATACAGCCGGAAGCAAAACGTCCTTTGCACAAAATATATTTGGTGTACTTGCATGGAGCTCCTTGGATCTTTGCCCATATTTTTAGCCATGAGATACAGTATCTTGGAAATATTTATTACCAAGTACCGCTGCTGGTGTACACTTAGTTCTGCAAAGAACAGAGGTCCTCAGTTTTTGTCTGGCCTTAGCACTGTCAAAGCATGTAGTTGTCTCTGACCCTGATCAGGAAAAGGAAGGCTCTTGTCTGACATCTTGCTAAGCTCTGGGGGTAATAAGAAGCACAGGGAGAAGCACCTTCAAGGCTCAGCACAATCAAAGGGACTAGCTCCCACCTTTCTTCCAAGTTGTAGATGCAGGATAGGAACGTGTCCCTATGGTTCACCGAAGCTTTAGAATGCTTATTCCATCACAATTTTCAAGTGCATCTAACCAACACAAGGACAAGACAACCCTTAATCAGCTTTTCATGCCAGAAGCAAACTGGCAAGTCAAGTGTTGGAAGAACATTGTGGGGCAGAATCTTTTAAAAAGGGCAGTCTGACCCCAAGCACACGATTCTTTGTTGTCAACCCAGGTTTCCAGTAGAGCACCACCATCATTCCTTTCCTGGTGCACTTTGGCCATTTCTTCCAATCCTGTAGTTCTCAATATGCACTGCAACAGGGATGGACTGAGCCCTCTTATATATCTCAGGTGTTGCAACCTTACATACATGGAGCACCTGAGTAGAAGCAGAAAGGACTACACCAGGCATAGCCAAACTTGGCCCTCCAGATGTTTTGGGACTACAATTCCCATCATCCCTGACCACTGGGCTTGTTAGATAGGGATGATGGGAGTTGTAGTCCCCAAACATCTGGAGGGCCAAGTTTGGCCATGCCTGGACTACACTGTTACTTGCACTAACTCAGTAGCAGGTTAAAGAGAAAAGTAAATGGTGATGTACCTAATAGCTTAATAGGGTTTCTTTTGCACAAGTCTTAACTTGGAATCAGCCCCTGCCCCCTGGATGAAGCCAACATGGCTACAACTCCTGTTCAAAACTGAGCAGGTTTTAACAGTCAATCTAAGACAATCTGGCTGTCTGTGGTTAGGAACATTAAAAATTGACTCAGCTCAGAAAACTTGAAGAGGTACTTTTATAACACTACTGAAGGAGCTGGTCTTTACATAGCACCCTAGCGGTGGAAATGCTTTCCAGGGTGAGATGGGTGGAACCTGGTAGCTAATTATTAGAATGCAGAAAATCCCTTCTTACGAAAAGTGTTAATATTTAAATAGCATGATTCCTAAAGGAACAGTGGGTGCCTGCCTCCCCCAGTATACTCCGCATATATAGGTCTGGCTCATGTTTCTCCCACTTGAAGACAAGTTTCAAAATGAAGGCATAGTAAAATTATACCTATGTCAGGGGTCCATGTAGCAGGCTTTAAGTTTGTTATTCTAATAGCACCAGTCTCTGCCTTGAGAGGCGAACAATCAAAATTTTGAT